ATAGTGTACTAGAGGTTATACCTCTCATGATAGTATTATGAGGCATTTCTCCAAGGGTGTGTGACGTGCAATGACTATCAAAGTGCGGTAACTAATAGCAACCATGTTTCAGGTTGTACTAAAATACAGTAAACCGTAATCAGATGGATTGCTGGGGGGATACTGCATATTGGGCTTGATTTACTAAAACTGGAGAGCAAAATCTGGTGCAGCTGTGCATGGTAACCAATCAGCTTCCAGGTATTATTATCAAAGCTTAGAATAAGTTCACACCTATGCAGTTTGCGTTTGATCCGTTTCTGCAGTGTGGTTTGCGTTTTTGCACATGCGTTTTTTTTGTTTTTCTTGTTGCTAGGCAGATTAAAACGCATTAAAAACACTCTACATGCTTTTCTGCAGCGTCTCCATTGAAGTCTTTAGAACACAAAACGTTGCGTTTTGTGTTTAAAAAACGTCCCTGACCCTTTCCAAAAAAAACGCACCAGGTGAAAACACGGAGATGTGAACCTGTCCCATAGGAAATCATGTTAAATGGACTACTGTGCGTTTTCTGCAAAATCGCTGCGGAAAACATAAGTGTGAACCTAGATTTAATGAAAAAGCTGAAGTTAATAGCTGATTGGCTACCATGCACAGATTTTTGCACTCCCCAGTTTTAGTAAATGACCCCCTGTGTCTTTGCAAATTTTGTTACCATCTTGAGGTGGAACTGAAATTAAACGTTTACTCCACCACCCTCATCCTCCCCACCACCAATAATATTTAAAAGACTTCAGTGCACAAATCAGTACATACTCAGGTCTACATTGAGGTTTAAGCAGCCAGCTAGCATGTAGGCCAGCAGTTGTCAACTTACAAGGTATGGGGGTCCTCATTCTGTATAAGTAATGCTACATAAAACTGCCAGAGAATGCAAACTTATTAGAAGAGACGGTCAGAGAGTTTTGGTTAAAGACTGAATACACACTAAAGGAGAAGGTGAGAAACTAAATACACGTTAATCTGGCAATACACTGCTGGATGTTTTTTTTTTTGTTCAGCCTGTAGGTTAACTCCTCCATCCACCTAACAGTGTGGATGGAGGAATCTTACTGCAGGCTATTTTATTCTGACAGCCACTGCCCACAGCTGTCGGAATACCCAAACAGCAGCTGCATGTGTTTTGATACTGCTGCTGTTTGGCTGACAATTTCACATGGCTCCTTCAATTTTTAAATAGAAGTATGTCAGGCAAGAGTGGACAGATGAGATCACCCACTTAGTAAATTTTGGACATTCCATCAGAACCCAGCTAAAATTCAAACTATGTATGGCCAGTTTCACATTCAACTGCTAGAGATCACTTCTACCATAAGCTCTTTACAAACGCCCCTGGTACTCACTGCTGGGGTCCAAGGATCACTTGACAGGCAGCAAAGGGGCGCATTAGGGCCTTAGGCTAGAGCTTGGGCACAAGGGACCTTGTGGTACCCTGCCCAACCAGACAGGAGGAATAGATTTCAAAACTGTTCATAACTCATCTGATCTGAGGTCTCTACTTTTCATTGCTAGTGTGGTGGGGAGAGCAAAAGGGGCAAAAAATCAGTTCCACTTAAAATATGCCTTTATGTATCTACTTATATTTTGGTTGTTTATGGCCATATTATTGTGTTTTTTTTTTTTTTATAAACAGTATATTATGTACGTGTTAATGCATTTGTGCTGGTCAGTTATCATTTCTGCCAACGCCTGTGAGCAGGTTGGTAGAAGAACTCATGACAAATGCCACAATACTCCAAAAAGCTGTAATAGAATCTCGAGTGACATATTATTTAGCACACTTTTCGGTGGACTAATAATTGCTGTTTTCAGTAATCAGAGAGAGACGGCGCTTGTACCAGCTACTTTTTGCCTACAAGAGTATTCTGAACATCACTGAGGTACAAAATAAACTATTAATGGAAAATAAGTTGTGTTTTTTGTATTTAGTGTGTTCTGTCAGTATGGCATTAAAAACCTCAGGGCTGGTTTACACCCTTGAAACGCAGTCTGGATGCATTGCTGCATACGTGTTTTGGACACGTTCCGGTGCATTTTTGATGCATTCAATTGCATTTTGTTCAACCCTCTATGTTTTTCCACCTTAAATAGGGACAGGATCATTCTAGTGTGTTTTTGTTGCGTTTACCTCTTTCCAGTACACTTCATTGCAGAAAAAAATGTAGCATGTTCTACTTTTTTTTTTTTTTTCTGGAACTGGATTGCATTGCAGCTGACTGCACTGGTGTGAACTATGCCATTGGAAACCATAGAACCTACTATCCATCAGTTTTGATGCAGAAAAAAATGCATTTGACTGCATGTGATATAAACCAACTCTAATCAGTGAATTTTAGTTTCTACCATCAGGTTTTCAAATACAGTGTTGTACTGCATGGTATGAAAATATGGCAGAAACTATAGACACTCACTCCAGTGGCAGCTGCATATTATTGGACCAGGTTCCTGATGGTGACAACAGCAGATCATATCTGCATGAACAGCTCTTGGTAATCACTATGTGTAACGGTGACAATGCAAGAGAACAATTGGGAAACGAGTGCTGTCACTCTATTACACAGGAAGTGTTTTCATGGTAGAATACCATGATACCAAATATTATTTTATAGTATATGTAAATGATCTTTTTTGATAGATTGGCAAAGGTTAGACCCTCTGTCAAGTTTTTATTTCTTCACGTGTCATGCCTCTTTCACATAGGAGTACTTTACTGTACACCCATGTAGGACTGTGCTTATCCACACGGGGATTCACAGGTATTCCTTGCCTCCCCATGCAGGCAATCCCTGGGACACAGTCGCTGTGACCCAATATGTGAACAAGACCTTAACTGGAATTTTTCACCACTCTTGTTGTCCTGGTGACCATTGTCACCAAGACATATAAATTAGGGGGAAATTCCAAATTTTAGCATTGTCATCAAAGCAAAATATAAGAGTGTGTCATCCAATAGAGCTGAATGTACTGATGACAACAGTCTGAGAGATTTCCCTCACTTTGGAGAGATTTCCTCCCATTTCCCCGAAATGAAGGGAAATCAGATATAGCAAAAAATAACCTGATAGGTTTTCTGACTTTCCTGCACTCTATCCAAAACAAAATAATTTTAGGCTATGCGTACACTTTAATAAAAACGGCAAATTTAAAAAGACTGAAAATGACCTTCTATGTCCCATTAATATGGTGAAGCTTAGATGAGAATTAGAAGCTCAGGTTTTACATATACCTTCATCTTTCTATAAAGCTTGAAATAATTTTGTGTGTTGTAATACATCAATGATAGTTTGTTCTTCTAGAAATCTGTGTTTGCTGCTGTATACAATACAAATACACTGCTCAAAATAATTAAAGGAACACTTTGAAAACACATCAGATCTCAATGGGGAAAAATCTCATGCTGGATAGCTATACTGATATAGACTGAGTAATGTGTTAGGAATGTAAGGATGCCCCATCGTTTGATGGAAATGAAAATTATCAACCTACAGAGGACTGAATTCAAAGACACCCGAAAATCAAAGTGAAAAAATTATGCAGCAGGCTAGTCCATTTTGCTGACATTTCTTTGCAGCAACTCAAAATGGTACGCAGTAGTTTGTATGACCCCCACGTGCTTGTATGCATGCTTGACAACATCGGAGTATGCTTGTAATGAGATGACGGATGGTGTCCTGGGGTATTTCCTCCCAGATCTGGACCAGGGCATCACTGAGCTCCTGGACAGTCTGAGGTGCAGCCTGGTGGTGTTGGATGGGCCGAAACATGATATCCCAGAGGTGTTCTATTGGATTTAGGTCAGGCGAGCGTGGGGGCCATTCATTGGTGCCAATTCCTTCATCCTCCAGGAACTGCTTGCATACTTTCACCCCATGAGGCCAGGCATTGTTGTGCACCAGGAGGAACCCAGGACCCACTACACCAGCGTAGGGTCTGACAATGGGTCCAAGGGTTTCATCCCCATACCTAATGGCAGTCAGGGTGCCATTGTCTAGGCTGTAGAGGTCTGTATGTCCCTCCATGGATATGCCTCCGCAGACCATCACTGACCCACCACCAAAACGGTCATGCTGAATGATGTTACAGACAGCATAATGTTCTTCACGGCTTCTCCAGACCCTTTCACGTCTGTCACATGTGCTCAGGGTGAACTTGCTCTCATCTGTGAAAAGCACAGGGCACCAGTGGCGGACCTGCCAATTCTGGTGTTCAATGGTAAATGCCAATCGAGCGCTATGGTGCCGGGCAGTGAGAACAGGGCCTGCTAGAGGACATTGGGCCCTCAGGCCACCCTCATGAGGTCTGTTTCTGATTGGTCAGAGACATTCACACCAGTGGCCTGCTGGAGGTCATTTTGTAGGGCTCTGGCAGTGCTCATCCTGTTCCTTACAAAGGAGCAGATATCGGTGTTGCTGATGGTTTAAGGACCTTCTATGTCCCTGTCCAGCTCTCCTAGAGTAACTGCCTGTCTGCTGGAATCTCCTCCATGCTCTTGAGACTGTGCTGGGAGACACAGCAAACCTTCTGGCAATGACACGTATTGATATGCCATCCTGGAGGAGTTGGACTGTCTGTGTAACCTCTGTAGGGTTCAGGTATCGCTTCATGCTACCAGTAGTGACAATGACCCTAGCCAAATGCAAAACTAGTGAAAAACAGTCAGAAAAGATGAACAGAAAAAAAATGTCAGTGGCCTCCACCTGTAAAACCAGTGTTGTGGGAGTTGTCCCATTGTTGCCCATCTAGTGCACCTGTTGTTACACCAAAGCAGCTGAAACTGATTAACAACCACCTCTGCTACTTAACTGACCAGATCAATATCCCAGGAGTTTGATTGATTTGATGCTATACTCTGATTAAAAAGTGTTCCTTTAATTTTTTTGAGCAGTGAATTTACTAAGATAATTGCATTTCCATGTTGTGTGTACTATGGGAGACCAGATATAGTGAATGCAGGGTCCTGGGAGACCAGATATAGTGAATGCAGGATCTTGGGAGACCAGATATAGTGAATGCAGGGTCCTGGGAGACCAGATATAGTGAATGCAGGGTCCTGGGAGACCAGATATAGTGAATGCAGGGTCCTGGGAGACCAGATATAGTGAATGCAGGGTCCTGGGAGACCAGATATAGTGAATGCAGCATCCTGGGAGACCAGATATAGTGAATGCAGCATCCTGGGAGACCAGATATAGTGAATGCAGCATCCTGGGAGACCAGATATAGTGAATGCAGGGTCCTGGGTTTTAGTAGCACTTTAAATATAGACAAGGCTTCTTAGTGCTCAGCTGCTGCACCAAAAATGCTCACAAACAGTCAAGGCAGATCTAAAAGGAAGAAAAATGAAACTGCTTGTAAGAGTAGCCATATTTTCAAATCAAAGAGGAAAACAATTGTATCCGCCTCTCCTGATCAGACCTGAATGGCAGAGAAGCACTCTGCCAAGTTTCAGCTCACACAGTGTCCTCATCTTTCTGTAATAGAAATTGTTCATTTGGACCAGTTTGGCCCAAGTTAACTATTTAAAGTAAAGCCTGGAATTCTGCTTTATACAGGCAAAAAAATGTAAAGCGGCGATCAAACCTGCTCCACAGCCCCAGGGGACAGAGGCAAGGTGATCCGCAGAATGAGACAGATCCACAGGGCCAAAGTAAACAGCTGTCAAAAAGCTCAAAGGCTCTGTGACAGCTAGTAGCTGCTAGGGCTGAGTTCTACAGAAACCCCTATTGTCAGCACCTTTCACAGCTGAGAAGAATGATATTCAGTTAAGATACACTTGCAGGAATGAGGGCAATAACTATAGTGGAAAAATGAAGAATAAACTAGAACTAAATATCACCGTTAGAACAATTATAAAAAAAAGTATATAAATAGAATTCAGAGAGAGGGGTGTGTGTGTGGGGTAGTGTATAAACAAAAATCACATACTGTACTTAATACATTTTAAAGAATGTGAAACACATATTTATGTACTATTAGGACTTGATAAAAGTGTTTTAACTGGCCACTAGATGTCACCACATCCATATGGTTTGCTATAATGCTGCAAGAAAACAAAACAAAAACAAAAAAACCCTTAAAATTAAACAAAGTAGCAGGAAGAATGTGACACAATTTTGTCAACTGATCACTGAATGCTACTGCATTTTCAATAACAGGTGAAAATACTTCTTGTAAAAGAATATGGGCTTCGAGTTCTTCATTGGCACTTACGAAGACAAACTGTTCATTATTATATTATTATACAGGATTTATATAGCGCCAACAGTTTGCTCAGCGCTTCACAATATAACGGGAGACAATACAGCAACAATACAGTTCAATACAAGAGGGATAGGAGGGCCCTGATAGTTGAAGCTTGTTCATGTTAAAGATCCAAAATATTTCCTATTTGCAACAGCATTTTAACAGACTTTGCATAAGCCTCTTGCAGTCTGCTATACAGCAGAGGTCATACTGGAAGAAGAAGAGACTGTAAGGCTAGCTTCACATATGTGCGGGTGGTGTCGCTGCGGATTTGCACAAAAATCCGTGCAGCAGCACCACCCGCACAGAGGAATGCGGACCAGCGGGTGGGTGCCATTACTTCTAATGGCACGCCGCCCGCACTGGAAATCGCAACTGTACTGGGAACCGAGGTTCCTGTGTGGGCTGCGTCTTCAGAAAAAGTGCAGGGACTTCTTCCCTGCGTGTCCTGGGGCACGGGAGTCCATTCAAATGAATGGGACTCTCGTGCACGCGCAAAACGCGGACTGCAGGAATGTGGAGATGTGAACCAGAGGTAAGGAGCCAAACTATTAATAAAAGCAAAGGCTACTGCCGCCAGGGACACTGGAGAGTATCCACATGATTCCAACCTACAGTTGTGTTCAAAATAATAGCAGTCAGACATCACTAACCTGATCATTCACTGTTTTTGGTAGAAATGATATTTCTACATGGCAAATAATTTACTAGCAGGTGTAGTAGAGTAATAGAAATCCAATAGACCCAACAGTCATGACATGCATGCTGCTGATTCTGTGTAATTGAATCACTAATTGAAAGGGGCATGTTCAAAATAATAGCAGTCTGGAGTTCTATTAGTGAGGTCATTCATTCTTTGAAAAACAGGTGGCAATTATTGCCCTTATTTAAGGAAGGAAGGCAGCAAATGTTGTACATGCTGGTTACAGTGCATTTCTCTCTGAAATTCTGAGGAAAATGGGTCGTTCCAGGCATTGTTCAGAAGAACAGCGTACCTTGATTAAAAAGTTGATTGGAGAGGGGAAAACATATAAAGAAGTGTAGAAAATGATAGGCTGCTCAGCTAAAATGATCGCAAATGCTTTAAAATGGCAACCAAAACCTGAAAGACGTGGAAGAAAGCGAAAAACTACCATTCAAATGGATAGAAGAATAGCCAAAATGGCAAGGACTCGGCCAACAATCAGCTCCAGGAAGATCAAAGAAGGTCTAAAGTTCCCTGTGAGTACTGTTACAATTAGAAGATGCCTATGTGAAGCCAAGCTATCTGCAAGAAGCCCCCGCAAAGTCCCACTGTTGAAAAATAGACGTGCTGAAGAGGTTACAATTTGCCAAAGAGCACATTGACTGGCCTAAAGGGAAATGGCGCAACATTTTGTGGACTGAGGAAAGTAAGATTGTTCTTTTTGGGTCTAGTGGCCAGAGACAGTTTGTCAGACGACCCCCAAACACTGAATTCAAGCCACAGTACACTGTGAAGACAGTGAAGCATGGTGGTGCAAGCATCATGATATGGGGATGTTTCTCATACTACGGTGTTGGGCCTATTTATCGCATACCAGGGATCATGGATCAGTTTGAATACATCAGAATACTTGAAGAGGTCATGCTGCCTGATGCTGAAGAGGAAATGCCCTTGAAATGGGTGTTCCAACAAGACAACGACCCCAAACACACCAGTAAACGTGCAACATCTTGGTTCCAGACCAACAAGATTGACGTTATGGAGTGGCCAGCCCAATCCCCGGATCTTAATCCAATAGAAAACTTGTGGGGTGACATCAAAAATACAGTTTCTAAGGCAAAACCAAGAAATAGAGAACTGTGGAATGTAGTCCAATCATCCTGGGCTGGAATACCTGTTCACAGGTGCCAGAAGTTGGTTGACTCCATGCAACACAGATGTACAGCAGTTCTCAGAAACAGTGCTTATACAACTAAATATTCATTAAGTGATTCAAAGGAAAGCAAAATCTTCAAACATTTTTCAGTTTATATAGTGAATGTTTGAGTTTGTAAAGAAGAATACAAACACTGCTATTTTTTTGAACAGTCTAATATTCACTTTTCTTCAATTTCTTTAGAGGAACAACACATTTAATATATTTTTCTTCATGTTTTGATTTGGAATAGAATGTGTAGTGTTCCCAATGCATTTGTGTGTATGGAAAGAAAAGCTATTAGAAGGAATTTCAGCTTTATTCATTCACTTTTTTCAACACACTGCTATTATTTTGAACACAACTGTACAAGCTGGGTTGTAGTACAATATCACCACAGGTCAGCTCAGGATCTACATATTTACATAATTAAAGCACAAATGTCATATCTTTTTGCAAAACAGGGAAGAATTGAAGTCTGCTTTTAAAGTGGAAGTAAAGTCTTTTTTTTTTTTTAACTTGGAGCTACAGGTAAGCTTTACTTATAAGACTTACCTGTAGATATAGTGAATATCTCCTAAACTTGTATGGTTTAGGAGATATTCATAATGCATGGAGCTGGTGATGTCACCAACGCATGTGCTCTGAAGGGACGGCATACCTGTGCCATCCCTTCAGAGCTCCGTGCCGCGGCCGAAACTCCCACGCGCATGCTCAGGAGTGAAGTCATTGTGGCCCGGCCAGTCAGACAGCTGGAGCATGTGAACCCGAATGGAAGACTAGGTGAAGGTGGAAGCCCTGTCAGTGGTGACAGTGCGCTGCTGGAGGGCTTCTTTCTAAGGTAAGTACTTCATAATGTGCTAGTATGTGTTGCATATTAGCACATTATGCCATTGTCCTGCAGCTGTTTTTTTCTTTTAAACTAACGCTTTAAATGTCATCTGTGTCTCTGCTGGGGACATTTCCACTCACTTCATGTTGGGGCAAGAAGTGATGAAAAATATCTCAGATAGGGTCCCAAACAAAATCAAAAACTTTTTTTGTGGATCTGGGAAGGGTGAGAAGCTCAGATAATATTTTTATTGATTTCTGTGCTTTCCATCCTGGTGACATCAGCTCCCTTCACTTCCTAGCCTGGTGTCACAGGGACAGAAAATGAGGGGAAATCTAATAGGGTCACAGACAGCTATTGTAACTCTTCCACATTATAGTCCAAACTAAATATAAATTGTTTTAGATCAGAACTCCAGACAAAAATAACAAGGTAATAAGGAATAGCCTGTTAAAAGATAAAATACCAGTGCAATTTAAAACTTCAAAATAGTGGCAAGATGCAGGCTTACCAATTATCCATTACCCCCTTATTGAGGAGCAGTCATAAAAAGCTTAGCTGGCATACTCAGGCATCAGTGGCGTCCGTCCATCCAATTCGCAGGGCCATCACCAAACATGGTTTCCCAAACAGTCACCTTTGGGCTCCAATGGCATGAACTGGTGGTGGGCCGGGTGGCTGCAGCAAGCACTCTCCTCTCTACAGGTGTCTGTAGGCTCCTGGGATTTACACAAACTCTTTGCATCTCTGTGTAGTGCTATCCTCTTGAGGGCTGCTGAGTTGTTGGGTCCCCCTAAGCTCTGCACAGCCAGGCAGCATGCATTTTCCACATTTACATCCACAGTCAGTAAACAGTCAATGAGCTTGGTTTTTGTTGTATTATTATGGCTTAATAACTCCTTCAGGAGTGGTTCTTCCCTTCTGACAAATTGACACAGTCTTTGCAAGAAGCACTTTGTCCCCTTAAATGAACCCCCTCAAATCCCAGATAAAAAAATCTCCTCATCCACCTATCTGTCTTGGGAATATCTTAGGGCAAGGGATTCTGAGACACAGAAATAATGCAGTCCGAGAGAGAATTAGTTGGGTATTGCGCCTCACCGCCCTCTCTCTTCTTTGGCCCAGGAGATGTAGAAGTACTCACTGTCCTGTTCCCGTAGCTGTAAAGATTGATGCTGCTTTCAGGCCTTATGTTGGGCTGGCTTCTTTTCCTGCTGACAGGCTGTCTTTTCCCAGTGTGCTGTGGGACAGTGCAGATCTTTCTTTCCAGTTTCCAGTCTGTAGGCAGGCCCTCCTCCTCTGGGGTCCCCTCCCAGGCTCCACACCAGCAGCACTTCCTCACTCCATCTTCCACTTGACTCCCCTGCTGACCAGGCGCTCTCATATTTAAGGGCTGACCTAGCCACCATGCCAG